ATTGATAAGAATTGTTGAGAGTGGATATTGCTGATCTGGTAGACTTCGAGTCAGTCCTTTGATGCTGTGCCCTACAGGGCACATAAACAAGCTGTTGTCGTGGGGCCTGGATGGGTGATAGGAGATGGATTGAAAGCAGCCTGAATAGCAGAGCCCAGAGGATGGCCATCAGCAGTGCCAGGTTTAGCTGGAGGTTACTAACGAGCAGCACACCCCAGGAATCAGCGCTGGGTCCAGATTTGCTCAGCATCTTTGTTAGTGTTCTGGATGATGGGGCACAGAGTATCCTCAGCAAGTCTGCAGATTGGAGTCCAACAAGGGACTGAAAGAGTCTGAAGCAGCTCTGAGGGAAGGCTGAGAGATCTGTGGCTGTTCAGCCTGAAAAAGAGGGGGTGCAAGGGATCTTCTGAATGTGTATGCATACCTGGAAGGAGAGTGCCATGAGGGCAGAGCCAGGGCACAGTGCTGCCTACACCCTTAGAGGGAAAATGCTTCTTGAGGGTGGACTTCAGAGATGCTGCTAAAGCCATCCCCCTCAGTTCCTGCCCCAGGGCACAGAGCTAGTCTCCTTCCTGAGGCCATGGTAGCACCCCACAAAGGGTTCACAGGATCACAGAATTGTAGGGGTTGGAAGGGACCTCCAGAGATCATCGAGTTCAACCCTCCTGCCAAAGCAGGTTCCCTACACCAGGTCACACAGGTCAGCATGTTGGAACAGCTTTGGGCAGCTCTCCCCCCACCCCATGATCTAGGGAGAAAAGAGCAGCACAGGGAGCAAGAGATCCTCAGTGCTTTTTATTGGGCTCACAAAATACACAGCAAGAAGAGCCAGGCTGCAGCCCCAGTCCAGGCAGCCATGCAGACAGGAGCACCAGTTCCTTGTTGGGACAAAAGACACGCCTGTCCCCACACCAGCACAGGGACACCTACCACTGGCTGGCAAGGTCACAGTACGAACTGCAGGCCTGGAGAAGGCTTTGTCCTGGTGACTCTTCTTCCTTTCTCTGTGGCCCGGGGCAGCACAGCAGCACTGTTCTAGGCCTTGCCTGCAGCCTCCATTGTGCCATTGTCTTCTTCTTCTTCTTCTGTTGGTGGCTCTGAGGTGCTGGGATCTTTTTGGGGCAGAGACCCACAGCCTTGGTCCTCCTCTGCGCTGCAGCATGAGTCTGTGAGCAGATGGACAGAGAACAGTGAGGAGCCAGCTGCATGCAACCCTATTCTGCTGCTGGAAAAACCTGTGTGACACTTGTAGGAAGCAGGAGCTGATCCTTGAGATCAGGATCACATACAGGTCCTAGTGCTGCAGCATAGGACATGCCTGCTCTACAGCTAGAGCTGGCCCCTCAGGTTGAAGGCATGAGACAGCCCTAAAGGGCACTGAAGCTGGCCCGAAGCTCTGCACTGGGGACATGCCCAGCATGTTGAGCGATACAGGGCAGCCAGAGCAGAGGTAGGGAAACTGACAGGGAGCACAAGGCGGTGGGGGTGGCAGAGCAGAGAGAACTGGGGTTTATGGGTTAACAATTCAGCACCATCACCTTCCTCATCCTGAGTCTCTGATGCTCTCCTGTCTTGGTTCTGGGACAGTAACGTGAGCCTGTTGATGGCCAGCAGGGCTTTGCCTGTTTTCTGGAGAGAAGGAAAAGAGCACTGAGGCTCACTGGAAGGGAACCCTTCGTGCCCTCCGCTGTCCCCCAGGCACAGCCTGCCCCACATACCTGCCACTTCCGACGGGTCAGGAACTGCTTGATCCGCTCCTTTGGCAGTGCCTTCATGCTTCGGGGCAGGGGCTGCTGGAGCCAGGGGTGCTGGAGAGCCCCTGGGCTGGAGAGCCGGCAGCTAGGGATGGATACAGTTTGAGGGGCTGCCCTCTGGCCCTTGGTGTGGCCCCAAGGAGTGGCTCTGGGCACTGCTGTGTTCAGCACAGAAGGGTTTGCACCTTCCCCTGCTCATCCCTGGGCTTGAGCATCTGCTCCCTTCATCTTCCTCACACCCCGAATCCTGCTCTAACCACGGGGACTCATCCCACACTTGGATCTTACCGAGGATCCTTCTGCAGCAGCTGGCTGATGAAGTCCTTGGCCTGCTGGGAGATGTCTGAGAAGATCTCCTCCTCAAATTCCCACCGGGCAGCTGTGATATTGCTCAGTGTCTCCATGTCATTCTCTCCCTGGAAGGGGGACTCCCCACTCAGCCTGAAGAGAGAGCAGAGGACTTCAGGGACAGCTCAGCCCCTTCCTGAGCAACTGTTGTCCCCAGGAGTCCACTCACAAGATGTAACAGATGACACCGACGCTCCACATGTCTGTGGCAAGCCCCACAGGCTCAAAGGAGACCACTTCTGGAGCCATGAACTCAGGAGTTCCATGCAGCACCTTCACAGGGGTGTCCGGAGCTGCAGAGGAGATGGAGCCCATGGGCAGGCAGCCCCATTGTAGCCCAGCTGAACCAGACATGTGCCCCTGCACCCAGCTGGAACATCCTGTTGTCACCAAGGGTCCCCCCTCACTCACCCAACTTCCGTGCCAGGCCAAAGTCGATGATCTTGAGCCAGTGGCTGGCTGGGCTGACGCAGACAATGTTCTCGGGTTTGAGGTCAAGGTGGACGACAGCCTGGCCATGCATGTACTGCAGCCCCTCCAGGATCTGCCGCATGTATTGGGTGCTGCTGGGCTCTGTGTGCTCAAAGTCATCATCCACGATCCGCTCAAAGAGTTCCCCACCAGCCACACTGCAGGTGCAGGCAGAGTGCTGAGAACCACACAGGGGTCTGCAGGTTCCCAAACCACCCTGCACTCCGTGCCACCATCCCAGGGCACAGAGAGCCACCCCAGCACCATCCCCATCGCCCCACACTCACTACTCCATGACCATCACCAGCTCTGTGGGACCCTGGAAGGCAGCAAGGCACTGCACGAGGCGCGGGTGATGCAGCAGGTTCATCAGCTCAACCTCAGCCCGAGCCGCCTGCTTCTCCTTGGCTGTCCGAGTCCGGAAGAACTTCCCAGCCCGGATCTTGCCTGTGGCTTTCTCCTGCAGCCGGTACACTGTCCCAAACTTGCCCCTGGAACAGAGCAAGCAGGAGGAATGGAGGAGCTGTCCCCATCACTGCCACCTCACATCCCACCCATAACAGACCCTACAGCTCGGAGCTGTAGGGATTGTAGGACCCCTACTTACTCTCCAAGCTTCTCCAGCTGTGCGTACACATCTGAAACCTTATCCTGGCTGTTAATGACAACATCACAGCATTCAAAATCCTCCTCACCTGCTGGTAGGAATAGAGGGGGGTGATCAGGAGAGCTGTAGTGGCACAGCCAAAGCATTGAACAGAGCGGGACAAGAGGTGAGTGCTGATGGGGGGGGAGGAGCCCAGTGCTGGGGACCCAGCGCTGCAGCTATGCCCCTCCCTGAGCAGACCAAGGGCAGTGTGTACCTTCTGCCTGAGACATCACGGTGCCACTGGCCCCTGTCAAGGTGTTAGCGCAGTCAGGACAGATGCTGGATGCAGTGTTGGTGTGGGGGGTGAGGCAAGGGCACCCCTCTGCCTGCTCCTGGGGATCTGCATGGGAAAGAAGCAAGGCTGTGCATGCGGGGAGAGCCCCAGGCAGCCCCCACTGATGCCATGCAGGGTGCTGCACCTTCACCAGGAGAGACTTCAGGAAGATGCCGAGCTGCTGTTTGCACAGGCAGGAAGCAATTTTAAAGCAGCACCCCTTTTTCCCCTCGAATGGGAACGATCTCTTTCTAGGACCCCCATTACCTTAGGCAAGAAGCTATAGCCTCTTACATGCTCCAGCTCGCAGCAGCCAGGAAATCCCCAGGAAAAACTGCTTCTCTAGGGCAGAGGAGCTGCTTCCTTAAGCAAGTCCCCTCCTCAAGCATACCCATAAGGAGGGGGAAGGCCAGATCACAGACACACCCAGGTGCTGCACGGTGGCACCCAAACCCAGACCCTCAGTGCTGACCTGTCACCACCTGGTCCCGTTGTGTTCCAGGCCAGCCACACAGGCTCCCAGTCCTTCCAGGTCACCGCTGAGCCACCGGAGTCACGAGTGAGCTGGGAAGGAAGGGTGATGCTGGAGTTGGCATTGGGGATCACTGCAGCCACACAGCTTAAATGGGGACATCTCAGGGCAAAGCGCCAGCCAGGCTCCAGGCGCAGCTGGAGCATCGCTCTCGCAGGGAACAGCCCTCCCCTTCCTTCCCAGAGCATTTCCGTACTTGGGGAGAAACAACCACAAGCATCAACGCTGAGCTGCCTGGCAGCCACCCCCAAAGCAGCCCCAGCACTGCAATCCCAAATACCTCACTGGGCACCACTCAGGTTTGGACCCAGATCCCAGCTAGAGAAACCCCAATTAAAACCACCCAGGGTTCTGCAGAGAACTCACAAGACCTCAGCTTCACACTAGCCAATGTCCCATCCTAGAGCCTTAGCTGGACCTAAATCCTGCAGCAGCCCCACCTCATCCCACCCACAAGACCCTAAGTACCCACACCTGCTCCCCCAGCTCCACTTGCAGCCAATATCCCATCAGATCCATTGCTGTCCCCACACCCATCCCAGGCTGTGACCACCCTGAAGTCCCCAGGTAAGCTGGGATGAATTGGAACGCAGCATTGTGAAACCACTCCTGCTTCTCAACTCTGCTGCTTTGAAGCAAAAACAGGGTTTTCCAGCCTCTCCCTCAGGACCAAGGGATTTGCAGGCTGTGCAGCTGCTCTGAAAGCACCATGCTATGTTTTCTGCTGCTTTAAAATCAGAATGACGCAACGATTTCCCACAGACCTGGGGATGGGGCCGAGGAGCTGCAGAGGGTCCCACCCCTTGGGCAGCCCTGCGTCACAGCCTCCCTGCAGCTCAGGAGATGTCACCCCATTACCTGCTGTGCCCCTACAGGGTCCTGGCACTGCTCTGGTTATCGCTGGTGCTGTTGGGACAGAAGCGATACGGGGCTCTGCCAGCCACTCCCAAAGCGCTCAAAGTCCATGGGACAATGGGACAACGTTCCCAGCAGGGTGGCAGGGCCACTGCGTCCAGGCTCTCACACAGCCCACGGCCTGGGGACGGTGACACGACCTCACCGCTCTCCCGCTGCAATATCGACCCTGCTGGGACACAGCACGGCGTGCCGGGGACATGGAGGACATGTAGGGGACGACAGAGGAGAGGCCGGAGCTGCTGCAGTGGGTGAGGGGCGGTGGAGACCCCCGTCTGTGCACCTCATTCCTTGCAACATCCTCAACATGGGGTTTAATCCTGTTCAGGAGGGTTTGGGGGTTTAGACCATGCTGTAATGCAACATCTGCATCTCAGCACGGGGCAGAGATGAAAAGGGACAAAATTGGGCAGAGTGAGGCTGTAAGGTGCTGCACAGCACAGGGAATGGGGTCTGTGCAGCACCCGAGGGCACAATCGGAATCCACAGCTGCTGGGTGTCAGTGTTGTCCTCATGCTCATCCCAGCAAAATAGAAAAATGCTCTGGAAAAAAAAGCCAAAGCTCTTTGTTGAAACTGATCACATCCTTCATCCCCCACACCTTAATTCTCCGGGGGCTGGAGATGTCCCACACCCCCAGTTTGGAATGAACCCAAAAGAAAAAGAGAAAAGCCAAAGCTTTTAAGAGCTGAGCGCAGGATGTGCCCTAAAAAGCTGCAGAAATGCCCACTGTGGGATTTGGATGTACAGCGAAGTTTGGTGGGGTGCTGGGGCCGGGTGTGCAATCCCAGCTCTTTCTCTTGGGTCTCTTGTCTCTCCACACACCCCCATGTTTCCTACCCCATTTCAGGTCCCCTCTTTGTGCTGGATGCTAGGTGGGTTTAAAGAGAAGCTGCCTGTTTGTTTGTAGGTGCTACAAAAACACTTCTGCAGCACTCAGTCTGCTCACAGAGCCCTGCTCTGGTGTCCATCACTCTAGGTTCCATAGGGGCCACCATCTCTCATCTTGGCCCCTTAGCCACGCTGATGCACAGCAGGGCCACCCATCTTGGGGCAGCACCCAGAACTGGGGGCAGTGCCACATGGAGAGGACACAGGACATTTGGGGGACACTGGGGAAAGGGAAGACATGGGGACATGTGGAACCACAGGAATACAGGGGGCATGGATGGCATGTAGGGGGACACGGGAGGCATGAGGAGGATGTGCAGGGATGTAAGGTACATGGAAGACTCGGGGGATGAGGGGCATGTGGGGAGACACAGGGGACATAGAAGACATGGGGGACATGTGGGACGTGGGGGGACACAAGGGACATAGAGGACACAGTGGACATGGGAGGCATGTGAGCAATGTGACGGTTACAGAGCACATGGGGGGACATGGGAGGCCTGAGGACACCAGGAATGGGGACACATTGAAGCCACAGGGATCTGGGAGGACCCAGGGACAGGTGAGTGACCCTGGGACATGCGGGGGGACATGAGATGATGTAGGGAGATGTTGGGGGGATTCAGAGGACCTGGGATGCAGAGGGGACATGAGTGGCACGGGAAGCACCCAGAGACATGGGGACACAACAAGAATATGTTGGCTGGGGACATCAAGCAGGATCTGGGAACTGGGAAAAAGTCATAACTGGGAGCTAGGAACTGGGATCTGAGAAGTGAGAACTGGAGCAAAGGATTGGTTCTGGGTACTGTGGGGTAGGAACTGGAAACTGGGAGCAAGGGATTGGGAAGAATTGGTAACTGGGAAGCGGTAACTGGGATCTAGGGACTTAGAATTGGGAGCTCAGAACAGAGAACACTGAGCTGGGAAGTAGGGAATGCAATTACTGTGTTGAGAACTGGGAATGTGGTGCTAAGAGTTGTGAACTGGTGGCTGGGAAATGGGAAGTGGTGAAAGGGAACTGGGAATGCGAAGCAGAGGGCTTTAAAAGAGGAGGTAAAATGGCTGGGAAGTGGTAACTGTTAGAAGCAAGTGTGATTTGGGAGCTGGAAACTGGGAGTTCTTGGAGCAGGGAACAGGGAAATGGAAACTGAACAGGGAGCTTGGAACTGTGACCTCAGTCACAGAGCTCAGAAATGGGAGTTGCTCGATGGAACTGGAAACCAGAGATGGAAATTGGGAACTTAAAAAATTAGCAACGGGGATCTAGGAACCACAACGGTGAGGGAAGAAGATACGGCGATGGGAACCCATGGGGTTTAATGTGCACTGAGAGGAGCTGTGGCCGCCATGAGGCCTTCCCTCAGCCTCCTCTTCTCCGGGCCCAACACAGCACAGAGTCTCAGCGCTCCTCACAGCCGTGCGCTCAGTCCCTGCCCCGTCTGTAACCCTATTTTTTGTCTGTGTTTCGGTACGTGGGTGGATCTTCCGAACGGAGCCGGAGACAGGCACAGCGCGGGGCTCCCACCGGGCGGTAGGCCCGGAGCAGGCCACAGGCCCAGCGCCCGTCGCCATGGCAACGCGAAGCGCGCAGGCGCAGAATCCCATGAGTGGGCCTCACGGCATCATGGGACAACAAGTCCGCAGCGCTACACCCCCCTTAACCCCGCCCGCGGCGTAGGACTACAGCTCCCATAAACCCTCACGGGGGAAGTGCACCTCTCCCCTTCCTCTACATCTCTCCCTCCCATTGGCTCCGCCGCGATGCCCGGCAGCAGTACGGCAGCGTCTGATTGGTTGGAAGGCGAGCGGGACGAGGCGGCGGCTATGGCGGACGAGCGGGCGGTGTGAGGGCTCGGCCGCCATTTTGTGTGTGTGTGGGCTTACGCCAGGCCTCGCTGCCCGCCGCCGCGGGGCCGGTGAGCGGCCGGGGACTTCGAGGGGACTCTGGGCCGAGCCGGGAGCACGGGGGAGCGGCTCCCTCCGGCGTTGAGTCCTGAGGAGAGCGGCGGAGGCCCGCGCGGTGCGGCCGTTCCCCTCAGGAGTGCGGGGCTGTGGGGCGGGGAGGGCTCCGGGAAGGCCGCAGCTCCGGGGGGGGCCGTGGCTGAGGGAAACGGGACGGAGGGGGCCGGACCTGGGCCTCACTTGGGGGATGAGAGGGGTAGCAGACATAGTGGTAGGAAAGCTGTGAGCTCGGGCTGTGCTGGAGATCAGCGGTGTCTGAGTGACCCCGGTGGGCGCAGCGTGGGGGGAAACGGCGCATTTTTGTAGTGAAAGAGACGCTTTGGTTTAGAAACATGGAAAAGCCACGTGGTGACATAACGTGCCTTTAATGCACGGCAGCTGAAAAATGGCCCCCCGAGAACATTACCCTCGGTACCACTCGGGCTCACGGGACCCTGAAGTGCTGCAGGGCTCCCCACAGCCAACGCGGACCCACACATCACCCCCAGAGCCCCACACAGCAGCCCTGGGGTCCATCATGCACCACAGAGCCCCAGTCTGGGGCTGCAGACGTCACTCAGTGCAATGGAAATGAAGGCTGGGGAAATAACAGCGCTTGGACTTGGTTCAGGTGTAAAACTGCACCATTTGGGGTTTCTGAGTGTAGGTCCTGCTGTCAAACGTGGGACCTGCCAGTCACAAGCCGAATTCTTTTCCATTTATACAACTGGAGGGTTGGTTTTGTTCTCTTTTTTTAAGAAAATGCTCTGTTGAAACAGGTTTGCCGACAAATGTCCACGTTGCTCTATTAGTTCCTGTGTGCTGGAGCCTTGCACTTCATACACTGCTGCATGGTCGGGCTGGGAGCTTTATTTCCATGTACCTCAGTGCTGTGTTTAGCCCTCACAGCAAGGAAGACGCTGAGGCCCTGGAGTGTGTGCAGAGAAGGGCATGGAGCTGTGAGGGCTGTGAGCACAGAGGGGGGCAGCTGAGGGAGCAGGGATGGGTCAGTGAGGAGGAGAGGAGCTCAGGGAGACCTCATTGCTCTCTACAGCACCCTGGAAGGAGGTGGGGGGGGGGAGGGGGTCGGCCTCTGCTCCAGGTAGCAGCAATAGGACAAGAGGGATGGGCTTATGTTGCACCAGGGGAGGAGCAGGTTGGATATTAGGAAATATTTCTTCGCAGAATGGGTGGTGGGGCAGTGGCACAGCTGCCCGGGGGGTGTTTGGAACCGTGGGGATGTGGCCCCGTAGCAGGCAGGGTGGGATGGGGGCGGAGGTCCCCAAGGACCTTAATGGCTTTCCATGCCTAAAGACGGCGTGGTGCTCTGCGTGTCTTAGAGCTGAACGTGTCATGTTGTTGAACCTGTGTGCCCTGCGCCTGTCTGGTTGTTAGAGGTGGGGATTTTTGGTGCTTTTTTTTCCGAAAGGGTGTGAAGGGGGATGGAAAGAAGCCAAAGAGGGGCAGATCCCGGTGCCGTGGGGCAGCCGGATGGGGACGCTGTGCGGGGTTAGCAGCGCCAGAGAGCCTGCTTTAGAAAGGAGTCCTGCTTACATTGCAGTGTCGCTGGGATGGCCGGAGCAGCGTGTGAGTGCTGTGTCTTAAAGGTAGCGAATAGGCGGCACTGGAGCGAGTTGAGCCTTAGGGCTGGCGCTGTACGCAGCGAGCAGCAGCGATGCCAAAGCCGGGCCCTTGCGAGGAGCCACGGAGTGGCCCCGAAGCCGTCCCAAAGCTACCGACCTGCGGGAGCCGTGCCGTGCCGTCCCCTCGGCGGCGCTGCGGGGGGAGCCGGGTTTCGCTTAGCGCGGCCGTTGGCTGTTGCGGTGTTGGCGTGCTGTTACAATGGACGGCTTCCCTTTTTGCGGCAGCATTTTCGGTGTCCCGGCTCCCCCTGGGGACGGGGCGCTTCAGCGGGCACTGAAAGGCTGCTCTGCCGCTAAGTGTGAGCGCAGGAGGTGGGGTCGGACCCTGCGGGGCGACGCACCGCTCCGGAACACCTGCGGTGGGGATTAGGAGCAATTAGTGTGTGTTAAGACTCCTTCATTAAGCAGAATGTGGCATAAAGTTGGTAGAATCAAAGCAGGGTCGGGGAGTCGATGGTTATGGAGGGAGCAGCGGCGCTCTGAGCGGGGGGAGAGGTTCCTGCGTTCCTGTGTCTGTAAGAGCCGTTGCTGAAGTGTTTGCAGGTAACTCCGAACAAAAGGCCGCTCTTATGAATTCAATGTAACCGGTTTGGGGTCAGGGGGTGCAGGACGGCCTGCACGAACCGGTCACGGCTTCACTTAGTAGCACCCGCGCTGCTACATTTCTCTGACGATGCCCTCGTGTGGGTTTGTCCCCCTCCAGGTGCCGAAGGCTGCCCGTGCTGCCCGGCTCACCGGGGCTCCCTGCTGCCGGAGTTGGACGCGCAGCTGTCCGGGAGGAGCCGAGGCCCCGTGCGGCGCTGCGGGGCTCCAGGTGGAACAGGAGGCCTCAGCGGGCTGCTGCTTCTCTCCCTGAGCAATGGCTCCTAACGAGTGAGATCCCAATTAACCCAGCCCGCTCCTAACGAGTGAGATCCCAATTAACCCAGCCAGCTCCAACACACGGAGCGGCGGCAGAGCCCCTGCAGCCACCCCAGCGCTGCCGCTGCCCGGCGCTGTCATGGCAGAGTGAAGGGGAAAGGAGACCGCGAGGCTCCGGGGCAGCACCTCGGCACCCCGCTGTCCTTCCCACAGCTGGTGGCGGCGTTTGCCCCGAGCGGATTTTTTGGCCAAGCTTGTGCTAAAACCTTCCTGGAGCCCCACGGCAGCCCCACGCCATCTTCCCCTTCCCCGGAGCTGACGTTCGTTATGAAATAAACCTGCCCCCGTAGGTACCGAGCGGGCTGCCTCCGCTGCGAGATGCGTTCCATAGCGCCCATCCTGCCCTCGGTTACGCAACAGCCGCTCAGCCCCAGCGCTGCTTCACCCTTCGCCCTCCCCCCCAGCGCCCCGTTCTTCACCCCCCCCCCCCGGTACAGCGCTGGGGACCGCCCCCCTCGGCCCCCCCGCCCCCCTCGGCCCCCCCGCCCAGCACTGCTGACACCACAACTTCTCTCTTTGCTGGAAGAGAACTTTCAAAGCCCCACTTATGGCACTGAGAGCGTTTCTGGGGGGCTCTGCTGCGACCTCACCCCCGACGAGGAGGAGACAGGAGAACGAACCGAGCCTTTAGGTGAGCGAAGAAGCGTTAGAAAGGTGTCAGCTGTGCCCGTCGTACACAGCGCGGCGCGGTGCCCCCCTCTGTCGGCCCGGAGCCCACCGAGCACAGCAGCGCCAGAGGAGCCTCAGTGCGCGCAGAGCGGTGCTGAGCTCCGTGAGGAGCTCCGTTTCTCCGTGTCCAAAATGCGCCGAAAACGACTCAAACTGCATTCCCTCGTGGGAGATCACTTTGAACATTCCCCAGAAATCACACCGAAACTGTTACAGTTACAAGTAATTAAATTTATTAGACCTCTATAATTTTTTTTATAGTCAGTTTTGGCCAATTTACACTTTTTTTTCTTTTTTCTTTTTTTTTTTTTTTCCTTTTTGGTTTAAACACACACACACACACGAGGAGGAGGAGGGAAAAAAAAGAGCATCATCATGAGTTCACTTTGACAGCGACCCCTCCCCACCCGCCCCCAAAGGGGGAGGGCTGAGCGCCGCGTCCCGCAGCTCCGCTCCGAGGGTCGCTCACTCCGGAGCCGCCTCCGCCGCTCTCACGTCCCTCTCCCGCAGCAGCTGCAGGTTCTCCGCCCGCAGTCGGTCCACCTCCAGCTCCAGCAGCCGCGCCGCCTCCACCGCCTCGCCGTGCTTCTTGCTCTCCATCCTCAGGCGGTTGTTCTCGTCCTCCATGCGGGAGAGGCACTTCTCCAGCTCCAGGTACTCCTTCACCAGCTCCTGCTTGCTCATGTTCTGCAGGCTCTCCACGTGGTACCGCTCGTACGTCTCCGAGAAGTCCCTCTGCAGGAACTCGCTGCCGTCCCCCCCCATCCCATCGCTGCCGCCGTCCTCCTCGGCCGCCTCCTCCAGGAAGTCCTCCTCGCTCGTATCGTCCGATTTGGCGGCGGAGCGCCGCGGGTACAACCCGGTTTTCAGGTCGGGCTCCTCCTGGTCGTGGTCCTCCATCAGGAACTGCGTGGTGTTGTAGGGGGCCACGGGCTGCCCCTTGGCGAACATCTCCGCGCGGAGCCGCGAGGCGCGAAGACTCTGCCGCTCGTCGAACTGCTGCTTCTCCTCCCAGCTCAGCTTCGAGTAGGGCTTCCAGCGCCGTTTGTTCTTCGACGGCCGACGGCGGTGCTTCTTCTTCGCGGGCCACTCCTGGGCGCGCCCCACGGCCGCGCGGTACCGCGGCCTCAGCCCGGGCTGCGCCGCGCCGCCCTCCGACGGCCGCGCCTCGTGGTCCCCCGCGCCCTCCGCCGCCGCCGCCGCCGCCGCCTCCTCGGGGGGCGGCAGCCGCCCGCTCTCCCCGTCGGTCTGCGCTTCGCCCCGTTCGGGGTCCGCGGGCGCCGCCTCCGGGGCGCGCTCGGCGTCGGCCATGGCTGCGCGCTCCGCTCCCTCGCGGACGGCCGCTACATCGGTCCCGTCCCCCCGGGCCGCGGGGTCACGGCCGCACAGGGGTTAACGCCGCCGGGCCCGCCCCCCCGCGCGCATGGCACGCGCCGCCGCCTCCTTCTTCTCCTCCTCCCTCCGCGCCGCACCCGCCCCGCCCCCCCGCGCCGCCACCGCCACCACCCGCCGCCGCCTCCCGACTGCCGCTCCCCACCCGCTCCGCCGCCTTATATAGCTGCGCGCGTCCCGCGCAGGCGCGCTGCGTGCCCCGCCCCGCAGCCAATCAGTGTGCGCGAGGGGAGGAGCGTATCGCTTAGATACGCCCCCTCGCAGTTCGGCCGGCCGAGTGCCGATTGGCAAAGCGGAACGTCGATCGCGCACTTGGGCCAATAGCGGAGAGGGGGCGGGTCAGGACCGTACCGCTCGCGGAGGGGGGGCTCCAGGCGCGCGGCTCTGCGACCTTCAGCGCCGCTATGAGGGCAGCGCTCCGGCTCCCCCGCCCCTCCCTGGTACGACCCAAAAGAGTCCGCGCCGCGCGGAGGGGCACCGAGAGGTGCTTCAGTCTCGCCCACCCGGGACCGTTCTACGGAGCTCGCAGCGAGAGCGGGGGAAGTGAGGGAACAGAGCCGGGGGGCAAAGGGAGACAGAAGGGGGGTTCGGGCGGAGGAATCACGGGACCGCCGCTCTGTGAAGAGGTTGAGGCCGCGCGGAGGGAGATGTAAACAAACCTGAGCGGAACGAGTCCCATCTTAAAGGCGCCGCGTCCCTTTTTTCGTGGGTAGTGCTGGGGGGTGGCAGCGGGAGCTCCTGGAGTGCGAGGAGCGGGCAATGGGCGCCCCGGGGCGGAGAGCCACCGGTGGCGCGCGGGCTGCTGCCTCGCGCCCCTCAAGAGGTGGCGCCGGATGCGGTGGGATCTCGCTGCAACCGATGGCATCGCGCTACGACGGTGTCACGTGCGGGGGAACCGAACCGAACCGGGGGGGCCGGCCGGCACCGGGCCCGGCCCCGTACGGGTTGTGCGGCCCGCAGCGCCCCGGTGTCGTTCGACGCCCGCCGGGTGGCAAAGGGACGGCGCGGTGGGGTATCCCGGTATCCCCACGGTGTCTCCCCCCACACACAGCAGGGCAGCGCACACAGCCAGAACCGCACTGAAAAGGCAACTTTAATCGGGGGGGGGAGCCGGGCTGAGTCCCGCCTGGCAGCGCCCTGACCCCGCTGCCGTCTGTGCCCCCGCGGGTCTCCCCGCCCCGAGCGGCACCCGGGACCCCGCGGCTGCTCCGCCCCGAGCTGGCGGCGGTGCGGGAGAAGCAGAACCGGGAACGGTGGCTGCTGCGCGGGGCGCCGGGAGGCCGCGACGGGGACGCGTCACCTCTTCCTGCCCCGCCAGCGCCGCAGCAGCCACTGGGTGACGAAGGGCCAGGCCACGAGGAACAGCAGGGTGTGCGGGGACGCGGGTAGCGGCCACGGGGACTCCGCCTGGAGAGGGACAGAGAGGTGTGGGAGAGCAGGGCGGCACCCAACGCCCCGAGCGCTGCCGTCCCTTTTGCGCCCATCGTCCTGCTAGGGTCTCACCGCATCGCTCCGCTGTTGTCAGGGACGGGGCGCGGGGACAGAATTGCAGGGGGACGCGTTCCTCACACCTGTCCCTGCTGCCTGCCCCATGGCCACCTCCTGCTCTCCTGCTGAAGGACCCCTCCCCAGCCCGGTCACCGCCCCCAGCAGCACAGCCGAGGTCACAGAGCCGCCCGGACGTCGAGAACAGGCCGGCAGGGACTGCGCAGCGCTGCCTCCCACCCCACTCACCTGCACAGCGAGCAGCTCTCCGGGATCGGCCACAGGTGCGTCCTGCAACACAGGAGGGGTTTCGGACACCGCGTCCCCGTCATCGGGACCCGGGGCAATGGGAATCACGGGGGCAGCCCTCCCCGCTCGGCCCTGGGGCGGATTCGAGGGCGGCCCCACCTTGCCACGATTCGGCACCACCGCGGTCTGTCCCCACTCCGCCCCCGGTCCACCCCGAGCCGCCCGCCCGTGGGAGCGGTGCCACGTACCTTCGCGGAGGTGAGCAGCTCCAGCTCGCTCAGCCGCTCCAGCACGCGCTGCATGTCGTCCTGCAGGGCCCGCACGGTGCCGGCCACGTGGGCGTCCAGCTCCGACAGCAGCTGCTGCTCCACGGCAGTGGGCTCGGCGGGGCTCCCCGCGTCCTCTTCTGCCCCGGTGAGCTGCGGATCTGCGGGACCAAAGAGAGGTGACGCTCAGACGCGCGGCACACAGACGGCACGCCGCTGGCAGCAGAGGGGCTCTCTGTCCCAGCGCTGCTGGACGAAGGATCTCCGCTCCTCAGCCCCAAACTTGCCCTGCCGCCTCCCGATAAGCCCGGTGGCCAGCAGACCGGCAGGTGCTGCAACAGCGCGGCCGCTCCTCGGCCCCCCGCGCCCGCCTTGATCGGCCTCGTTACAACTCCCAAGGTCAAGCAGCCCCGGAGGTTTGCAAACATCAGTGGGGAGCTGAGCGCGTCGCGGGCTGGGGAGGGTGGCAAAACCCCAATGTCTGGCAGGATGGTTGCAGCCACCGGAGCCGTTCCTCACCGCATCCCTGCTGGGGACCGCCAGGATGGCTGCGGCGGTTCTGTCCCCTGTGTCAGCACCTCCAGGGTGCCCCCGAGGCCGGCCCCGCGGAGAGCTCCCAGCCCCCCCCGTATCCAAGGGCACCGAGCAGGCGCTGCCGGCAGGGCCGCACCGCGCTGCAGCTGAAGGATGCACAGCATTCAGCACAGCCCTGACACCGCGGGACAATAAAGGGGATCTGACCCGGAGAGGAAGCACCGAGCCGTTCGGGAACCAAGGCGTGAAGAGGGCGGATGCGGGGATTCGCGGCTGCCGACCATCGGTGCTCACAGCCTCACCCCAAGCATCCCAGGCGGGCGGGGAGCAGCGGGAGCCGGGCTGCACCCACCTCTGTCAGAGCCCCGGGCCGCGAGGTCGGCACCGCCGCTCCCCTCCCGTCTTCTGCCTTCACCCCGCTCTGCCCGCCCAGCCACGCGCCCGGCCGGGGCGCTCTTTGGGACCAGCCCCCGCTCAGCCAGCAGCTGCCCAGCCTGCGTGAGGGCGAAGAACGACCTGAGACCTCCGGGCCCCACCGCCAGCCCGCGAGGCCAGGGCTGAGCCGCAGCAGCTCCTGCCGTGCGCCCTCCTCCCCCCTGCCCTGCTGCAGCCCCGCAGCACGGGAGCTCGGGGGTCTCGCAGCGCTCCCAGGAAAGCGGTGAGGAGCTGACGGCGGTGCAGCAGCGCCAGTAAGCAGGGGGGCTGCCGGGACCCAGCACGCCTCCGGGCCGTCCTGCCCCGGGGGCCGTTACCTGCTCAGGCTCCATCTGCTCCATGGTATCGCAGAACACTTCCCCCTCAGAGTCGCTGGTGCCCTGGCTGCCCTGGCGCGTGTCGGCAGCAGGAGCCGGCCTTGCTCCTGCAAGGAAGCACAGGCAGCCCGGCGTGATGGGAGGCGGCTGCGGAGCCGCTGTGCGCATGGGGCAAAAGCTCGACATGGTCAGCAGGGCTGCGGGCAGCAGGAAGCAGAGATGTGCGCAAAGCAAGGCCTGAATTCCTCAGCGGGAGAAGCGCTCATTCCTGCCACTCAGGGCCACAAAGCGTCGCTCGCACCACGGGAAGGACGCTGCGGCACAGGGGGCAGAGGGGCAGATTCATCGTGGCTATAAATGCAGGGACCGCGTCCTGCTGCGCCAGGGCCCGGCTCATGAGCCGGCACAGAGCTCTGCGGGAACAGGGCCACATCCCGCAGGGACCACAGCACGGCCCGCAGGGACCGGCAGCTCCCGCCCCACGCATCCCACTGGACAGAGCCCTCACTGCGCGCCCCGCTCGGCTCCCTCAGGCACAGGCCGGGCGCAGACCGGCGCTGCTCCGTGACCACAGGTGCTGCCGGTGGGCGGGCAGCCCGGCTGCCCCGCAGCACACAGCTGACAGCAGGGGCCGCTCCGTGCCGGCACACAGAGTCTGCTCCCCCAGCACTGCGTGTGCCAGGGGCCGCGCGACCCAGGGCCGGGGCTCAGCACGGCGGCTCCTGCCCCCTGGGCTGGGCACGCCCGGCTGGAGCCGAGGGTACTTCCACTATGGAACACACCTCCCAGGGCGCTCTGCCTGTCTGTGCCTTGCTCTGCCCTCACAATTAGGCCTCCGAATACAGCCACGAGCAACACAGTCGCCCAACACGCTCAGGGTTACGCCGGGGGTCAGCAGCTGCCCCACAAGAAGCCCCGGCCCTGCATGACACGCAGGCGGGGTTGGACCAGACGTGCCTGAAGCCAACAGCTCTGCGTTGGGACGGAGGTCCGGCCCGGCCCTGTCGCCACTGCCTCCTCCGTGGGGTCTCTGCCGGCTGTTGGCCACTCCGGGGAGACCAACCTGGCGTCTGCTGCCCGTCCTGCTGCTCCCTGGGCAGTGCATCCTCCGGTCGCTCCGGGGCCGGGCCGTTCGCTCGCTCCTCCTGGCCGTGCTCGGCCGGCTGCTCCTGCTCATCTGCAGGGAGAGAAAGGGAGCAGAGTTAAAGTGCTGCAGATCTCTTTGCGGGGCTGCCCGCCCTCTGTGTGGATGTGGGGCACCCTGCGCCCCCACGGGGTGAAGCGCAGCCATGCAGCATTTCTAACAGGCAGGACTTTGCTCCCCGCTCCTGGGCAGGCAGCGATGTGGCAATGCTGCCCTGCACCTTGCCATGGCACCACCAGCACCAACCCACCCGGCACAGCCTCCAAAATCGCCTCACCTGGATTATCATAAACAACAGCTGCAACAACAACAACAACAACAACAAAAAGGCTCACGGTGAGCCTAAGAACCTTTAGCACAAATAACTCAACAGCTTAAGAAGTTGGTTTTAAACCACATTTCAGGCACCCGGTGTTTATCTGCCTCGCAGGCAGTGTGAGGTTTGGACTTCAATGAGACTGTCTGAGCGACAGCAGTGCAGGAGGACACCCACAAGTGGGTAAGGATGGGGAGTTCGGACCCAGCTTCCACGTCACAGAGAAAAACAGACAATATTTATGTGTTATTCAGTAAAAAGAACAAAAGTACCTGCAGGGAAGCAGCCATTGTGAGGCCAAGCCATGCAGGAATACACCCTATCAACATGTTTTGGGTGTCTTTGTGGATGCGGGGGGACAGAGGGGGCAGCGAGTCTGTCTGTCAGAGCTCTTCTAACATCAGCATTACACTGCCAGTTTACACCTGCTGCCAACACAGCCCAAAGCTCACCTGCTGCAGAGCGAATGGAGGCAGCACCCAGCAGCCTCACGCACGGTTTTTTTTCCCCGCACAAGACCGCCCCAGCGCCTCCCCACCCCCACAGCCCCTTCCCAGCCCCGTGTTTACATCAGGTGAGCGCAGCCTGGCGCCGTGCCTTGCGGGAGGGGCAGAGCCCGGCTGCCACGGCCATGTAGGGCTGCGCGCGGGGCTCTCGGAAGCCAAGCTCAGCTCTTCTCCTCCGAGCCGAGAGGAGGCTGGAGGGCAGCGCCAGGCAGGCGGGACGGGGCGGCAGGGAGGCGAGGCTCGGAGCCGGCAGCGCAGCCGCACTCACCGCCCGGCCGTCGGAAGAAGCCCTCCGGGGGCCGCGGCATGTCGCGGATCACCTCGTAGAGCGGCTCGAAGTAGCGGAACATCTCCTGCGTCGTCTCGTCCGGGCGCAGCGTGGCGATGATCTGCGGCGGCGGGCAGAGCCGTGCTGAGGGCCGGCCCGGCGGGCGGCGCCGCCCGGAGCCCCGCGGCAGCCGTTACCTTCTGGGCCACCTTCTTCATCTCGGCCACGTACGCGGCCATGGCCTCCTCCCGGCTCATCCGGCCCAGGCTGTGCCACGCGTCCCTGCGGGGCGGACGGCGCTGAGCCGGGGCCGAGCCGACCCCGCGGCGCCCGATGCGGGGCTCGGCGCTCCGTACCACTTGTAGCGGCCGATGGGGTCCCAGAAGCCGGGCCGGGGCTCCTGGCAGCGGCCCGCCGTCGCCTGCTTGTAGTAGCTGTAGAAGCGCAGCATCTCCTCGTAGGAAGGCCGGTACGAACCTGCAGCACCGCAACGTCGTCAGCGCGGCCCGCAGCGGTCCCTGCCCCGCTCTCGCCCGCACTCACCGCTCCGGGGCAGCCCCTGGATGACGCGCACGGCCGCCTGGAACTGAGCCCCGCAGCCCGGCTCCGCCATGGCCCCGCTCCGCCGGCCCCACCGCTCGGCTCTCGTGAGGGGAAAGCGCGCAGCCAATCAGCGCGAGGCTTCCGTCTGCGCCGCCGTGCAGCGCCCAATCGGCGCGCCGCTTGCGAAACGGGCCGCGCTGTCCCGCCTCCTCCGAGCCAATAGCGGCGTAGCGCGGGAGCCCCCTGCTGGAGGCGGAGCGCGCTGCAGCCAATGAGAGAGCGGGGAACGCGCGCTGTGGCGCCCCCTGCCGGCCGCGGGGAGAAACAGCGTGGGGCGGGGCGGGAGGGGACCGAGTGCAGGGACATAAAGTGGGGACACGGATTTGGGGACAGGGAATAGGGACGGTATTGGGGACAGGGAGTGGGGGTAGGACGTGGGGACAGTGTATAGGGACGGAATGGGGACAGCGTGATGGGGTAGGGCATGGGGACAGCGTGATGGGGTAGGGCATGGGGACAGAGTATTGGGACAGGGTATGGGGACAGGGAGAGCAGGCAGGGATTTGGGGACGGAGTGGGACGGTGTGATGGGGTAGGATATGGGGACAGAATAAAGGGACGGAGCATGGGGATGGGAACAGGGAGTGGGGACGGTGTAAAGGGACAGGGCACGGGGACAGGGCAGAATAAGAGGACGGGGCACGGGGTGGGGACATTACAGGGACATTATAGGGACAAGGCGCTGTGGCGTCGCCCCCCGCCTCCCGCCGCCCCTGCATTCCTTCCCCGTGCGTCATCTGGCGGGGGACAGGGGGGGGGAATCTGCGCTCACGCAGCGCTGTTTGTTCACCCCGAGACGGTGCGGGATGGGGGGGTGCGGCTGCACGGCCGTGCATGCAAACACACGTACACGCATGTATGTGCACGCACACACGCGCATATGGCCGCACACGCACATGTATGTGCATGCAACCCACCTTCCCCCCCCCCCCCCCCCCGATCCAAAATCTCCACTGCAAACCCAGCCCCCGGGCTCCATGCCGGCTCCTCCCGGTTCCGCCCCCCTCCTCCCCCGCACGGCCCCGCACGGCCCCGGGAGCGCCGTACGATGATCTGCGGGCGGAGGGCGCGGCCCCGCCCCGAGCAGAGCGGGGGGGTCTTGAAGAAGTTGGGTGAGTGCGGGGCAACGTGGTCGGGGGTCTCAAAGATGGGGGAGTTTCCTTGATTGGGGGTCTTCGTGGTCAGCAGTGTCCCCCATGGTCGGCATCCGCGTAGCTGGGGGTCCGTGTGGTTGGGGGGTCCAAAGGTTGGAGGGGTTCCGTGTGATCGGGGGTCCCCATGGTCAGGGGTCTCTTTGGTTGGAGTTCCCCATGGTTGGGGGTCCACGGTTGGGGGTCATCGTGGTCAGGGGAGTCTCTATGGTTGGGCATCCATCGGTTGGAGGTCTCCGTTCATGGAGTTCCTCACAGTTGGGGGTCCCCATGGTAAGGAGTGTCCCCCATGGTCAGGGTCCCCCCAGTCAGGAGTCCGTGTGGCTGGGGGGTCCAACGGTTGGAGGGGTTCCCCATGGTCAGGGGTCCCCATGGTTGGAGTTCCCCACGGTTGGGGGTCATTGAGGTCAGGGGTGTCACTATGGTTTGGAGTCCAGTGATTGGTGGTCTCTGTGGTTGAAGTCCCCTGTGGTTTGGGGGTCTCCATGGTCAGGGGTGTTGCCCATTGTCGGGGTCCTCATAGTTGGGAGTCCACCTGGTCAGGGGTTTCCATGGTTGGGACCCAGTAATTGAGGGTCATCATCGTAAGGGTCCTCGTGGTTGGGAGTCCCCTTAGTCATGGGGATGAGGGTCCATCATGGTCAGTGATCCCCATGCTTGGGGGTTCCAATGGTCAGGGATTCCCATGGATGGAGTTTCCCCATAGTTGGGGGGATCCCTATGATTTTGGGCCTAACGGTTGGAGGTCTCCATGGCTGGAGTTCCCCATGGTTGGACATCCCCATGGTCAGGGGTCCCAATGGTCAGAAGCCCCAATAGTTGGAGTTTCTTTGTGGTTGGAGTTCCCTCTAGTCAAGGGGGTCCCCATGGTCAGGGGTCTCCACAGTCATGGGTTCCTATAGTTGGGGGTCTCCGTGGTCAGAGATCCCCATGGTTGGAGTTCCCCATGATTGAGGGTCCCCATGGTTAGGGGTGTCCCTATGGCCAGGGGTACCCATGGTCGCAGGCCCAGTGTTTGGGTCCCCATGGTTGGGAACAGCCATTTCCCACCTCAAGAGCAGCGCATGGCTGCTGGGGCTGTTCTCAAGGGGTGCTTCCAAAAAACAAATAAAAAGGAGGAAATGATTTCATGGAGAATGGACGGAAATGTCCCATCAGAGCGGGTGTGTGGCCAGCCTGGGGACAGGGTTGGGGCTGTGCAGGGCGGGTGGCAGCCCTGCTCCTGGTGCTCCCACACTGGATTGCAGCAGCTTTGCTGGCATTGCACGGCTCTGGCCAAGAGTTCTGCAGTGTGAGCACAGCTCTGTGTCCACTGCTTGGCTGTGTCCCATCCCTTCCGGCTGCACAGTGTGAGAGGAGCTGACTGCAGTGGCCATCCCATCCCATCCCATCCCATCCCATGTCATCTGTCCTGTCCTGTCTATGCCATCTCATAGTGTCTGCCCCACCCCACCGTGCTCCATCCCACCCTATCCTACCCCATCCCCTCTGCCCCATCCCATCCTGGCTGTCCTGTCCCATTTCACCCTGTCCTGACTGTCCTATCCCATCGTATCTCTCCCACCCTATCTGACCTGTCTTGTCATGTCTGTCCTATCCCATCCCATTGCATCTTGTCTGTTCCATCCTGTCCCATTATGTCTCTCTCATCCCATCCCCATCCCACCCCCATCCCACTCCCATCCCATTCCACCCCATCCTGTCTGTCCCATCCCCATCTGTGCCCCATACCCCACCCCACCTCACCCTGCCTCAACCCACCCAACCCCATCCCATCCCATCCCATCCCATCCCATCCCATCCCATCCCATCCTCATTCCCCTTTTTACCCCATCCCACCCCATGCCATCCCCACCCCACTCAATTCCATCCCATCCCACCTGTCCCATCCCACATAACCCTGTCCCATCCTGTCGCCCTGCAGGTCTGTCAGAGGATGAGGACCTCCAGCTGATGCTGCAGGGCTCCCTGCTGCTCAAGGTGACCCCACGGCAGGCGAAGGAGCGGCGGTACCGCCTGCAGGAGGATGGGGTCACCGTGGTGTCTGAGCGGCGCTTCGGCCGCATGGCCTCCAAACACAGCTGTGAGTGCTGGCACTGGGGCTGGGGGCACTGGTGTGGGTTTGGCATGGCCCCCAGTGTGACCGGGTGGGCTAATCCTAACCCTAACCCTAACCCAGACCCCATATGGGACCCTGACTCCAACCTTAGACCCCTCTTGGTGATGCCCTATGGTCCCCATCTGAAAACAGGCTTTGCCCCCCAGCCGTGGACCAGTGCCTCCCAGTGCATCCCATGGCATTCTATTTTATTCCATTGCCTTCCTGCACCCTGTGTATCCTATTGCCTCCCAGTGCATCCCAGTGTACCCCCTTGCATCCTGGTACATCTCAGTGCCTTCCACTGCATCCAGTGCATTCCATCACCTCTCCGTGCATCCAGTACCTCCCATGGTCTTCCAGTGCCTCCCAGCATATCCCATTGCATCCTGTTCTATCCCATTGCATCCCATTGTATCCCAGAGCCTCCCAGTGTATCCCATTGCATCCTAATACCTTCAGTGCACCTCACTGTATCCCATTGGATCCCATTGCCTCCCAGGGTATCCCATTGCATTCCTGTGTATCCCAGTGCTTCCCTGCGTGTGTCCCATTACAGGACAGAGCCTCCCATTGCATCCCACTGCATCCTGTTGGATCCCATTGCATCCCAGTTCCTCCCAATGCATCCCATTGTATCCCCATGACTCCCATTGCATCCCCTTGCATTCCATTGCATCCCAGTGCCTCCAAGCATATCCCATCGGATCCCATTGCCTCCCATTGCATCTCATCGCATCCCCATGACTCCCAGTGCTTCCAATTGCATCCCAGTGCCTCACAATGCTTCCCATTGCATCCCAGTGCATATCATTGTGTCCCAATGTATCCCAGTCTATACCATTGCATCCCAGTACATCCCAGTATATCCCACTGCATCCCACTGTATCCCAGTGCCTTCAATGTATCCCACTGCATCCCAGTTCCTTCTATTGCATCCCACTGCATCCCAGTGCCTCTCAGTATATCCCATTGCATCCCACTGCATCCCATTCTTTTCCATTGCATCCCAGTGTATCCCATTGCATCCCATTGCATCCCAGTCCCTTCAGTGTATCCTACTGCATCCCATTGCATCCCATTACATCCGATTGCATCCCAGTGCCTCCCAACATATCTGATTGCATCCCAGTGCCTCCCCGTCTATCCCATTCTATCCCATTGCATCCCAGTGCCTTCCAGTGGATCCCAAAGGATCCCAGCGCCTCCCAGTGTATCCCATTGCATCCCAGCATAACCCGTTGCATCCCATTGTGTCTCTTTTCCTCCCATTACATCTCAGTGCATCCCATTTCCTCCCATTGCCTCCCACTGTATCCCATTGCATCGCAATGCCTCTCTTTATACCTCATTGCATCCCAGCTCCTGCCATTGCATCCCAGTACTTTCCAGTGCCTTCCAGTGCCTCTCAGGGTATCCCATTGCCTCCCGTTTCCTCTCTGTCTTGCCTGGGATTCACATCTTCTGCGCAGCCCAAGGGGACATTGGTTGGCTCTGCTGTCCCCGTGTGGTGCTCATTGGAACCATCCCTCTGTGTCCCCGCAGTCTCCGTTGCACACATTGTGTCGGTGCACCGGGGGCACCATTCGGAGGGGCTGCGCCGGTACGGCTGTGCCATCCCTGAGTGGAACTGCTTCACCATCGCCTTCGAGGGCGGGCGCAGGAACCTGGACCTGGGGGCACGGGATGAGGACGTGGCACTGCGCTGGGTGCGGGGGCTCCGCACGCTGCGGGGGAGGCTGCGGGGCATGAGCCAGCGGGAGAGGCTCGAGCAGTATCCTATGGGGTCAGCGGGGTCCTGGGAACAGCCTGGGGACATCTTGGAGACATCTAGGGACATCTCGTGGACAGCCTGGGGACATCGTGGGGGCATCTTGGGGACAGCCTGAGGACAGCTTGGCAACATTTCGTGGGGATGTGTTGGGGCAGCCTGGGGACAGTTTGGAGACTGTGGGAGTAGTTTTGGAGACAGCCTGGGGACACCTTGGAGACATCCAGGGGCATCTCATGGACAGCCTGGAGACGTCGTGGGGACGTGTTGGGGATAGCTTGAGGACAGTTTGGGACACTGTGGGCATAATTTGGGCGCAGCCTGAGGAACATCTTGGTGACATCTCATGGACAGCCTGGGGACGGTCTGGGGACATGCTGGGAACATTGGTGGACATCTTGGGGACAGCCTGGGTGTATCTTGGGGACCTCCTGAGGACAGCTTGGGACGGCTTGGGGGCAGTCTGGGGGTATCTTGGAAACATGTTGGGGACAGCTTGGGGACAGTTTAAGGACATCTTGAGGAAAGCTTGGGGCAGTCTTGGGGTATCTTGGGGATATGCTGGGGACAACCTGGGGACAGTTTGGGTGCTTTCCTTAACACAGCGTAGCTGGATCCATGGCATGCTGCAGCGTGCCGATAAGGACAAGGACAACAGGATGTGCTTCCAGGAGGTGCAGATCATGCTGCGCATGGCCAACATCCACATGGACAATGCCTACGCCCACCAGCTCTTCAAGGTACTCTCTGTCACCTGATGTCCCTGTCTGTCACCAACCAGTCTAATCCAGAGGATAGGGACGATGGGGATGATGACAGAGGAGACATGACCCACACAGCTCCATAACCCAGGGGATGGGGGACTGGGGACAATGACAGAAGGACATGACTCACACAGACCCAAGGTGACCCACGAGGCCCCACGATCCCCCTGTAGGGATGGGGACGAAGAATCCCTGGGTGTCACCACGCCCCATCCACGGTGGTCAAGGCAGTGAAGAGGTGGAAGACACCCAATGGGACTTGCACATTCCATGGGCGCCCCTGGGCAGCTGAGATTCCCAAACACATCCCAGGCCAGGTGGGTCCTTTGGGCTTAGGGTCAATGGCTGCCATCCCATAGGAATGTGACCACTCCGGTGATGGGCGGTTGGAGGACCGGGAGCTGGAGGACTTCTGCCGGCGGCTGCTGCGGCGCCCGGAGCTGGAGGAGCTCTTTGGGCACTATTCGGGTGAGGACTGCGTGTTGTCGGCCGAGGAGCTGCGGGATTTCCTGCAGGACCAGGGCGAGGAGGGCACCCTACACCAGGCCTGTGCCATCATCTGTGCCCATGAGCTCAACGAGAAGGGTAGGGATGGGGACGTCCCCGCTGGAGGGTGGGTGGCTGAAGGGCAGAACGGGTGCCATGGGGATGTGGGCTTGAGGTTCTGCAGGGCTGGACGGAGTGTCCCTTTGTCCCGTTGTCCCCCTCACCCTTCCATGGAGGTGGTCTTGCCCTATTTTGGTCGTGGACATGAAGGTTGGGATGGACACCAAGGGACCTCCCTGTGCCCTATTGCCATCCCAAGGGTGAATGTGGCACTGCCACGGGGCAGCAGGTTGGGAGCAGTCACCCCCGTGTCCCTGTAACCAGCAGGATGCGGGAAATACACCAAGGGACTTCCATGTGCCTTGTGTGCCATAGTGCCAACCCAAAGGTGAATATGCCAGGAGACAGCAGGAGGAGATGGGACACCAAGGGGACATTTGTGTCTTAGTGACCTATTAAGTGGGGAACGTTGGGGTGGGGACAGAGGACCTCCACCTCTTGTGGGTGCCACCATGCCATGTCCATGGTGGTCAAGGCAGTGAAGGGATGGAAGACACCCAATGAATGGGACTTACATGTCATCTGCGTGCCACGGTGTCTGGGGCGAGCATGGCACTGCCAGGGGACATCCATGTGGGGACAACCCATGAGGTGCCACCTTTGCCACCTCCCCCAGCCCGGCAGCAGGGCCTGATGACACTGGATGGCTTCACGATGTACCTCCTGTCAGCTGCTGGTGACATCCTCAACCAGGAGCATACACAGGTACACCAGGACATGAGCCAGCCCTTGTGCCACTACTTCATCTCCTCATCCCATAACACCTACCTGACCCGCAACCAGATTGGAGGCACCAGCAGCACCGAAGCCTATGCCAGGTGGGTGCCGTGAGGTGGCCCAGGTGACACAAGTACTGATCCAGTGGTGGTGGACTGGGTGATGTGGGGACTCACTGGATGATGTGAGTGACATGGGGTGACGGGGGGACTCATCCTGCGATGCAGGGCACTGATGATGGGATGCCGTTGCGTGGAGCTGGACTGCTGGGAGGGTCCCGATGGGGAGCCCATCGTCTGCCATGGCCATATGTTCACCTCCAAGATCCTCTTCCGTGATGTCATCGAGGCTATCCGCGATTACGCCTTCAAGGTAGGGCTGGTGCCATCAGCCCTGGGTTGGGCACTGGGTGCTGGTGCTCAGTGCTGCCACTCCCATCCCCACCTCCCAGCGATCGCCATACCCCGTCATCCTCTCGCTGGAGAACCACTGTGGGGTGCAGCAGCAGGCCACCATGGCTCGGCACATGAAGGCCATCCTTGGGGACATGCTGCTGACACAGCCCCTGGAAGGACAGGACCCCAGTGTCCTCCCATCCCCAGAGGTAAGACCATCTGTTGTGGTGTCCCTGTGTCCCCAAGCACCTGAGCTCGGCCCTTCGTCCTGCAGCAGCTGAAGGGGAAAGTCCTGGTGAAGGGCAAGAAGCTGCCAGAGCTGCAGAGTGAGACCTGCAGTGTCACCTCCATCCTGGATGAAGAGGAGGAAGAGGAGACAGAGGAAGAGGACAGGCTGCAGGTTGTCAATTTTTTGGGGTCTCCATCACCTTGGGGTCTCTATCATCTTAGGCTGTCCATGCTTTGGACTAACATCTTAGGATGTCCATTGCTTTGGGTTGTCCTTTGCTTTGGGGTATCTGACATGTTGGGATGTCCATTGCTTTGG